GTTTGGAGCGGCCTTCCCTGACTAAGCCAGTGCGTTTGCCATCTCTGTTCTGACAGCCCGGTTTAACCTCACGTGCACTGTCACCTGACGGTGGGTCTGCGAGGGTCTCAGTCACCTGACGGTGGGCCTGCGAGGGTCTCAGGGCGCCACTGCAGAGAAAATTCCCTCTTCTGCTTTTTGCAAATGGAGAGACTTCTCTGTGCTCAACGCCATATATGTGCTTTTTGTGTTGCAAAACAAGACCTCCTTTTGTTGCCAGAGATTTGTGTTGCCATAGAGAAAGAGGAATGTTGATCTGAAGAGCCTTCCAGAGCCAAAAAAAAAAAAGGCTTTTCCCGTAATTAATATGGCCACGAATTTGTGTCCACAAATTTCCCATGGGTTGATAACAGGGCACACTTTGGGTCACCTTAAGTTTTTTGTTGCCAGATTTTCACAGTATGCATTTGTGTGTTATGTGCGTTTGTGTGCAACATAAATATTCTGTAGTCTTCAGATGAATGCAGAGTGTGAGCTAATGTCATAATGGAAGAAGGGAAAGGAAGTCTTTAAGCATGAACGTGGTACTATTAAAGGGAGACTCTCATCTAGTTCTGGTTGGCAGTTACATTTTCTGGGGAAAATTTTCTGATGTAAGAGCTCTAGAGCTTCTTATAACTCTTTCAAAGATTTTTTTTCCACAGTAGTATTTAAAATAACAGTCAACCTGTATTTAAAAGTTGCCTAACACGAGATACAGGTGACCCTCCGGAGACGCCCCTGCAGAAGCACAGGTGAACAGACGGGTTTGGGACAGGCTGCATCTCGCCTTCTGAGCTAGAGAAGTATACAGTTTCCCGACAGAAGTATACAGTTTCCGTATGCTAGAGATCTGAGGGTATTTCAAAGCAGCTTTCTGCCTGATCAGTGGTTTGTGATTTGGTCCTGGCTTTGAAAATTAGCATGTGCTTCAAACCTGTCTCACTTGTATCCATTTTTGTCATTAAAAATAGCAACACTAAAAGGAAAAGGTTAAATATTTAGGCTTCCATGGAAATAGCGTGATGCTCCATTGGGTTTTCGCATTTTTATTGTCCTCTTAAGACTCATCAAGATAATACAATACAAGCATGAGGTAATACTCATCCAAAATTTCCAGCATGGGGTCTCTAATCTGTCACCACAGATTTACGAATGTGGGAAACCACATTCATAAACTCATAGTTCATGTGAGCCTTTCTGAATGTCACGAGTGTATATTGTTCTGTATTTATTGCAAAAACTGCTAAGAAGTCATGAGTAATAGAAATGCCTGAGTAGAAAAAGTAGAAACGATCATAGGCCAGAAATCCTGGTGGCTAAAGAGTGGTCCTTTCTCAAGAATTTTAAACATGGGAAGGGAAAAACATGGTCAGAAACACAGATGAATATTGAGTCCACATTGCTCTGCGGTCTTTAAAATACCTTCCCAAATCAATCCAGGCTGGACGAACTTGGTGAGCGACTCTTAGCTTGTTGCTGCCTCTCCTCACCATGGGGGGGCAGTAGAGTGCAGACACACAACAGATCTCTTTTTCCGGGGATGGAAAAGCACAAGATAGGCGGTAAGATGATTTGCTTGTGTCCACACAGAAGGTAAACAGCTGCCCAAAGGGGAAAATTAAGATGCTGATTGTAACCAGCTGAGGCCATCTATTCCATCAGAGTAATCCTTCATGCAATACACAGTGAGAGTCAAAATTATCGTGGTTTCTTCTTTTCACTTATTTGTGAAATGAAGAAACCATCTTGGGGATTTGGTTTACAGATCTGCAGGATGAAGTTGAGTTACTACTGTTACTGTTTCCACATGACTGCAACACTTGAGAATTGCCCAATAAATGTCAATTGTCACAGCTGTCTCACAACTGCCTATGTAAGACTGATGATGGCACCTATACGTGACACAGGAAACGTGCGTGTGGACATGCCACTTCCTTTACGGACTCCTTGAGGGAGACAGGCAAGATCTTAATCCTCATCTTGTCCGACTCCCTGATTTTCAAGGTCAGAAAGCTGAGGTGTGTGCCCAAGGTTACACAGTCAAGGCCAACTCCAGAAACACATACATGCATCTATGCACGCTATGTATTCCTCGGTTGACCAGATCCTCTTAAAATAAATGAATTTGAATACTGTCACGGTCATCTCTCCGCAAAGCTGGTTCCCAGCCACGCAGGTGCACACGGACATGATGCCCGTCAAAAAGGCAGCCTTAGAGAAACCCTGAAGCTCAGTGTCGCAGTAGATACACAGCTTCTGTGCCAAGGAAGCTGTGATGAGCCCTGGCCCGAGGATGCGGACAGTGCAGGGCGCTGGTGATTCGGGGGAAAACAAAAGTGAGGGAGGGTGCTTTCAGAGGATGGGAAGGAGAAGACACAGTGGGGAAGGTGGGTGGAAGCAGAGGCGTTACTGGCCGGCAATCCGGGAGCACGAGGTCTGGAGGCGCAGAGGCGTTCCCCCTGTGGAACTGGGGGGCCGCACCCCTCTGGCGACAACCCCATCTTCATGACTGCCAAAGGGAGGATTCGTTCCCACGATGCATGAGACGAGATGAATTGAATTAAACTGGCAAAACTGTCGTGACAATAACAAAAAGATGCTTACTCGGATGTTAGAAGCAGGCTGTTTTGTTAATGAACAATCTGATTTTTAAAGTTGCAGTCACACTTTAGCTTGAGGAAGCAATAAAATGGCTTTTACCAAGCCCTGGGTGCCACACGTAAAAGTCAAATTTTTTCTCATCTTTCAAGTATCAGAATGATTTAAATATTTGGAAATAGGGACGCCATTTTCAGAGCACAATGAAATATATTTTACAGAACGTTTTCTCTTCAGGCAAGAACAAGTACTATTTATTATTTATAACGTTGTTATGCACTGGAAATGGTGCCACAACTATTTTCATGAGAGAACAGTACCTACCTTGACATGTGATTGCAAATATGGTAGTGTACATTTTTTTAAGTTACATTTTTATATACAGTGTGTTTTGTTTGAGTGACTCATGAAAGCATTTTCAATAGGATGTGGCTTGAATGTATAATCTTTGGGCAGAAATTTTACTCCTGGGATTGTGTTTTCAGGGATGGTTCAAAAGAAGAAGAATAGTTCTTTGTATGAAATGTTCATAGCACTGTCATTTATGATAACAAAAATAGTCTAGAATAATCTTAACTTCAAAACAAAAAAAAGAAGAAAATGGTTAATAGAACTAAAATATATACATACACATATATGCGGGAGTGTTATTCTGCAGTGATTTAAAATGAGAAAGAAGACTGGAAAATTATTACAAAATGTTCATTGCAATTTATATATACATCTTATTTCTGCATTAAAAGTTATATATATATGATTAGACAAGAAGTTGGAGAAATGTAAGACTATATAGACTTGTAAATGACTTACATTTGCTTTTCGTACATTTAAATTGATCTAATTATGTTAAATTAATTGACCTTAAAATAGCTGGAAAACAGCTCAGTCTTCACCATGTTTAAAACAGTAGTGTACTGTATCATTTTAGTAGCAAATACATTGTTAGCAATTTTATATTGACTTGTAGGAGTATTGTACTCTAAAGTCATACGTGTGTCCAATCATTTTCATCCATTCTTTGGCCTTAAGTTTATATATTCCATGCACAGGCTGTTGACTGAAATTTCTAAAAACACTATTAACAGGAACTTCAATGACTACAATCAAAGCTTAAAATTTAGTAAAGCAAGTACCTCCTCTTCTTCGGCTGGATAGACAGCTTCGACGGAAAGAGAGGAGATGCAGAATGCAGGAAGGGGCAGAATAAGACTCACACTGAACGGAACCCCCGAGTTGCCCATCGTGGGCCAGCGGGGTTGACCTGGACAATTTGCAGGGAAAATGACCCGGCCTGTCAGGAGTCCGCTCATTGCCCTGAGATCCAGGAAGTGGCCTTGGCCCTGACGCCTAAGCACCTGGATCTACCTAGTAACTGATGCCGTAGTCATCCGTCACTTCTAGAATCGCGGGACAAGCTCTGACTTATCTCATTTCACCATGTAGCCATCATTTCTAGGAGAATGCTTTTGAAACATGTTGTGAAAATTGTAATAAGTTTTCCCTTAAGGGGTAATATTTAGGTAATTGGTATAAAGGACACTGGGTTTACATATTCAACAAATGTGTTAAGTCTCATTCACTGCAATGTTTGTGTGGATATATGGGATGCTGAGGCTGGTCATTTCCAATATTATAAGTATCTATTACAGATACTGGTCTTGATGCTTAGTTTAAAAAGCAAGGAAACTCTTTTGGGAGTTCAGTGCACGGGGAATTCCCACCAATATTTCTCTTCTAAGGTAAAATGTTACGTGTTCCCTGGATATTGTTTGTTGCGTTCTATTTCGAGTTCTCTGTTTTCTCTTTTTTAACCATGCATGTGTGTCATCCACACGGAGAACAGAGACTGTTGACTCAAATGTAGCATGGGGTGTCCGCCTATCGGTATGTGCATCTGTGCCGTGTGTGGAAATGTCCTCTGTGAAGGGACAGTACATGAGAATGAATGTGGACACTTTGCTGTCGGACTGAATGTGGTGCGTTCTCTGCTTGTCCGAGAAAATGCTGAGGAGTAAGCGTGTATGAAGGTGTCCAGGCTTCCCGTTCGAGTGGTCTGCTATCTCTGTTCTTGCCATTTTCCTGGCCTTTGAAAAAATCAATGGGACTAAACCCCGACTTTCCCTTAAAACTTGAGCAGACTAGCTTGTGGATATGTTCAGAACATTGGAACCTTGGTTGTCTTCAGTTGATTTGAAGGCCCCTTCAAAATATTTTTCATCATTAACCTGGCAGAAGCCCTTTGCTGTTTTTTTCGTCCTTCCTCTTGGTTTTTTACAACAGGAAATATTAAATGTCAAGCAAAGTACCATGCCATTATCCAAAGAATCTTGTAAGTAGTACCAGTTTAAACATTGACTACATTGAAAATCCTTTCATTTCAGCCGCAGCGTCCTGTGTTTGCTCACGAGAACATTCAAGGTGGGGGGGAACCGTAAGTATTCTTCTTCTCTTCCAAACTCAAGACTAACCTTGACCCACACGATGGACAACTGATGGACCGAGAGAGGGTGGCACAACTCTGCGAGTGACAGAGACCAAAGTAACTAACATGAGACCTCCCAGATTAAGAGGGGTTGCAATAGTCTCCACCTCTCCTAACGGAGAGAAGACACTAGTTGAAAACAGAAACCAGTGATCTGCAGAGACTGATTTATGCGCTAGAGAAGCCTTCTGATGCTACAGAGATTCCTACAACTTGGGAACCCATCTCCCTCTGTCCATTCACCGTGTAGATTCTAGTAACTATCGCTTTAAAGACACTGAAAATGCCTTAACATTGTTCTTGCACATGTTTAGAGAGCAGGAGAATGTAACAATAGGCCTAAAGCGATAAGTTAGTGGCAATTCCAAAGTTACACTCTGGGAAGGGTCTCTGGGAACGGCAGTATTAAAAATGTGCTGGCATTCGGTGGCATGCCTCCTCACACTTCCAAGTCCCCTCTCCTTGCTGACACTTAAGTCAAATCATCCTGAAGGTGTCAGACACTGTCCTTCAGACACGTATGTTGTGTGTCTTTTTCTGTTCCATTGTTGCCCATGAGAGATGCTCGGAGGGGGTGCGGATCTACCTCCTTCCCATTGGAGCCCACCACTCTGTGAGTCAGGAGCTAGGCCCCTGGAAGGAGGTAGGTCAGGCACACCTGAGCGCACACAGGGAGCCTACTGCTCGCCCACTGCCCAGGCTCCGCCCACCCGGAGCCCAGCGAGTCCAGCAGGTGTGGGCCTGGTGCCTTCATCACCGTGCATCCTCCTCGCTTCTCGCACACCTGAAACTTAGCTAAAAGCAAGCTCTTCAGAAAGCATCCCTCACCTGAGACTGGCTGTCTCCGAGTACAGCCAGAAGGCCTTGTTAAGAAAAAGACCATGAAAAGGACAGGTTGGAAATAAGAACCATTCAAAATTTCACTGAACTGGAAACATTTCAAATATGACCTGTAATTCTAACATTTTTGTTTGTTTTCCTATTTATGCAAATGACGATAGGATCGCATCATAGAAAAATAAATTCCGGGGCTGGTTAGGTTTATTGCATCACCCACAGATTACAGTAGCAGCTCTTAAGGATCTTGTGAATTAACAGATGTGTAGTATGTTGCACTGTTTTACGAACTATGGAGTTAAGACTTCCAGTCCTGGCCATTTGCATCAGATTGGTCAGATTGCATTTGCAATGTTGGTCATGTTTATAGAACCTCTGAGCTCAGAGGCCGGGAGAAGGCACAGTTTTGAAGTCCCGCTTTGGACACTGTAAAACACTCTTTATTCCACTTCTGTTTGATGACAACCCCAATTCATGAGGTGTCGGCTGAATGTCTTTCATTCAGGAAATAGGTTTTGATTGAAAATAGGGACAATGTGTCACGTTGCTGCAGTTCAGAATTGTGGTGAAACACCCGATTAGAAGGTTGCAAGTTAGGGAAAGCATGAAGGGTGGTGGGGCATTCCCTATCGACAAGACCACTCTCTTGCGGAGGCGCCCGGGCCCCACCGCCACCCTCCCTCCCGCCCGCACTTCTTTCCAACCAGCAGGTGACAGTGCAGTTCCCTGCATCTCCTGCCCTGCCATGCTGATTCTGAAAGCCAGACGAGGGTTTCTGAAGGGTTGGTTTATGTTTCCCTGACTTCCCCCCCTCTCTTGTGGTCTAAGTGAACCAAGATGGTAAGTAAATTTTGACAAGCACCCTGGCTTTCATCACGCCAAAGCGAAGTAGGAGTTCGTGCCAATTTTGGCTTTATTGGCTCTTGGGACCTTGAGATTCTCCAAGCAGCTGGGGTCTGTGGCCTTAAATAGGCCTGCCTCTCTGAGTGCTTGGAGCCGTGCCTGGGTGACAGCTGAACCCTGAGATGCTCGGTCAGAGAATCGGTGTGTCCCCAGGCGAGAGATGCTGAGACGTATACCCACTGAACTAGCAGCCCAGGAACGGATCTGTCTCTCGAGGGTGAAATTATAGAAAGAACTATGTTGAAATCAACTTCCCCCATGGATATACGAAATGTACCATCCCTTCACCTGAATGGCCTCCATGTCCAATCCCTAAGCAAACCACAAAATAGTTTGATTACTCCTACAAGGGCTGGCCCCTCCAAACTAAGTAATGTGGGTGTTCCGCCCCTCCTGGGCCTTTTCCGCTGCTGTTCAGGGCTTCTGGCTGCTTTTCTCTGCCCTTCCCCATAGTCAGAATTGCCTCTCAACAGATGGGCGCAGAAGCTCAATCTCAAAGAGTGCAGGTGGCCGTCAAGTTTTACTAGGAGGCCAAAATATTAACAGGGGAAGACGTCTCCAGCGTTGGAATTCTGGGGTTTGGTCCCAGGCCAGGGAAGACGTGTTTTCTAGGAGAAGATGCTGGACACCTCGTCTCACCGACCCTTTCCCAGACGCGCCCAGCCCTGCCCCCCACCCAGGCCTGCTTTACCGAGGTCCTGGGCAAGGACAGGGAGGGGTGCCCAAGGGGCTGTGTCCCCGACTTACGACGTTTGAGTCCAAGTGATAGAATAGTGTTGTTCTACCAAAATATGGCTTTCCAAATAAATAAATAAATTAGAACTACTGTTCTAAGTCCTGAGGAGTACTCAGTATTACCAAATTTTTTAAGTTGGCTTTAAAAAAAAAAATCCAAAATGCCCTGACAGGTGGTTCTTATTCTCTCACACTGGTAGAATTACGTAACTGTTATGAAAACAGCAGACAAACTCACTGATTTTTCTGGAACCCCCTCCCAATACTGATAATATTTTAGAAACACTTCGAGGTTCTCGTCTTCACTGCAGACCTAACGCCCCCTGACCTCTCAGCCGCTGGACTCCGTGTCTTCACTTTCCCAAAGGCCAGTCCATGTACTAAACACGCACTAAACACAAGGTGTTTTATGACCAAAAATTCAGTGTCTGAATTTGTTACTAATCAATGTCACCAAAATCTATGCTGCCAAAGAGTTCAGACAGAAAAAGGAAAGTGGTAGCATTCTAGCAGGATTTTTATGTAAAATCACCTCAAGGGGGGGTTTCACATCCAGCACAACTTCTCTAGGGCCCTTTAAAGGGGAACGTTCATGCCCATGATCTATCTACTCTTTGAAATCATGTCAGTGATAACAGAGCACAGAATACCTCCAACTTCATTTCCTGGGTGAATACTACCAAATTCTCAAATTCGAAATCCTCAGAAAACATAGACTCAGACTAGGAAACGAAACTGCTTTAAAGAATTCTTCCTGGTGGAAAAAAAGATAATATTCTGTTTTACAGTCATCTTCACATAGTGATCTAGAAGGCATGTGTCTGAGACATCTTGTATATACATCTCAATTTAGAATAATTTGAAAATTCAGCTTGCAAACTGCGACAATTTCCTTCCAATCGTAGAGAGCTAAAACTGCAATTCCTTGTCTGTACGTAGCTGAATAATGCATCTGGCACCTCTTCATATCCTTTGTTAGTACTCAATGTCTGGTGCTCCACATCTGTGACTCGGCGATTGAAATGTGGGTCTGACTGATAGTCGTAAAAATGTTTTATCCAACTCAGAGATGTTACGATCTGCCCTGAATATTCCTCATCGCAAGTGTTGAAAAGCCAGTAGAGTGATTTAACTCCCACGAGAGTCTAAATATTTCTATTTACATGCTTATCAAAGACATAGGTTACCTAATTATAATACGTTAATCACAGACCTGTGAAAAGTAACATTAACAGTGTGCATCTCCTATAGTTTTGCGAAGGTGCAAGGATTTCTTTCTGAAGCACGTCCGTTTGTCCTGCCGCAGGTTCCAGGCTCTGTACAACTACACTCCGAGGAACGAGGATGAGCTGGAGCTCAGAGAAAGCGACGTCATCGACGTGATGGAAAAATGTGACGATGGATGGTTTGTGGGTACGTGTGCGTCTCCTTCTGGACACAGTTGGCCACTGGAAATGTGTTTGTGTTTGCTCCCTTGCACGGCCTGACAAGAGAGTCGAGCTCTCTCTGATTTCGTAACTCCTTTGCCCTTTCAGACTTTCCTATGCACTGCGTAATCCCAAGGCCACTGCGCTTTTAATGCAGTTTAGTATTGACCGCTTCGGGTAGATGTGATTTTCTGCTAGCTTTCTTTGCCATTCACCCGGGAGAAGAAAATTTCCTTAAATGGCACCAACCAGGAAAGGCCGAGATCTCAGAACACCAACAAAAATGCTCCCTAGATAAAAAATACTAACAGTCTGTCCTGCGGAGAATATTCGTTGTCGGCAGCCAGAGAGGATCCGTTTGAGAGAACGGGGTCCCGCAAACAGCGCACCCACTCAGTAGGGCTGCGGCAGGCGCCCTGCGAGCCCAGGGATTCGCCCTGCTGGAATTCGTGGAGGACGTGGACAGGCGTTCCCTTCCGCCCACTGGGAGACTAGGAGTTGTCCAAGGGGACACTTGGAGACCAGAGTCCCACGCAGCAGGGCACAGGGGAAAGAGCACGGGAGTCTGGGGGGGACGACAGATGAGGGAGTGAGGACTCTCAGCAGCCAGGCAGTCAGTGAGGACACAGCAGGAGGACCACAGCCACGTTGCAGCCACAAGCCTCTGCCTGTGCTAACTCACCACTCGGCATGGAAGCCGAAGGGCTCACCACCCAGGGACAGAGCCCAAGTGAGACGTGGCGCTGCGACAACGCTGTTCACGCCAGTCGGAGCTGGAAGTCCCGAGGATGAACTCAGTGCACCAACGGCTACAAAGCATTTGGAGAGAATTACGTTCTTTGAAAGGAAAGGCGATCACGTCGATGGCCACTGGTGCTCGTGGTTTCACTCGAACCGGAAATCATGCCGATGACAGAGCTCCCGTCCACGAACGGTGGTTTATCTTTTTTTCCTTTAGTGACTTTGTAAGTTGCGTGAATTTTCTATGCTGCATTAAGAACTCGGGCAGTGCTATTTGTAAGTGAACCATGGGGCGTTCGGCACCATCTCCTGTGAGACAATAACACTGGATTGTGAGCGTGTCCCCCGATGCCTCCAGGTGACACCTGGTTGAGATGTGAGAACATTGTCCTTAAAAATCCACCCCCCCAGTAGGATGGGCTCCCCTCAGGCTGAGAGGCTGAGCTCTTGGGCTCAGCCTGGCGTGGCGGAGGCAGAGCGTTTGACCCTAAAATGCCACAAAAGCCACCGGCAGTACAGACAGAACCGCTGACTCAGGCTTCCCCATGTCTCAGTGTGTTTTCTTCCCCACACCTTGCAGGGTTTGCTCCTTCTGTGAAGCCTTGGACAGGAAGATTTTCCAAGCCCGTGTATATGGACTGACATTTTCATTTATTGCTTCTGTTTGCAGGAACCTCAAGAAGAACCAAATTCTTCGGTACCTTCCCCGGGAACTATGTCAAGAGGCTGTGAACCACCCTCCCTCCTACCGAAGCCACGGTTCAGCACCACATCCGCGTAACCCACCCTCCAAGGCCCCCGCGGGCCTCCCGCTGTCATGCCTTACGGTTTCCAGTAGAAGTCACCCACCGTCACCATCCCCACCTGCCACCCGACCACCAGCAAAGTAACTGCCAGCGCCGAGCCGTGGGGGAGACTGGCAGGCTGGTTCCGCGTGAAAGTGCATTCCTCCACTTCCTGCTCTGGACTGAGAAGTCTGGGTGATGGGGTCCGAAAGGAGATCCTGACACTTGAAAGGGGTTAACGATCTGAGGCAGAAGAGGAGAGTGTCTTGAGGAGGCTCCCTGGCCCACTTCGGAGAACGTTTCTCCCATCAGGTGGCCCGCAGAGGGTTTATTACCAAACACCACGGTGTGCATTTTCACACTCTTAGCTTGGCAGTGTATTTCCCTTTTCACGAGTTTGCCTAGTGTCCTCGTTTACACGACATGACAACTGTACTTCAGCTATCGTTTGCCTGCACTTCTATGTTGTAATATGCACAGTGATCACAAAGTCTAAAGCAAGGGTAGGAAAGGTCATTCGGATGAGTGAGGTTTTTGCTGACTGAATGTGAGTTTTCAATAGCAGTCTTTCCCTGCGATTCTTTTGTACTTTTTAGAAGTGCAAACAGTAAGTGAATAAGAGCTTTTGGTAATAATCATGAGACTATAAGAAGTTTAGCTAGACTACAAAAAAAAATATTGTGTTGTAAAGTTGCATTGCTATTTTATATTAAAATGTAATAATCAGCATCATGAACAATGAGCTCTTAGTGTTTTATTTATCGGATAAAATTGAAATAAAAGCAGTGTTAGTGAGAGGTGCAAAAAGTTATTCTAACATAGACACTTGAAAGTATCTGTAAGCAATATTCATAGTTGAGAGTTCACTGTGTGCGCGCACACGCGTTTGCGATTGTATGAGCACAGACAATCCCTGTGATGTGTCGTACAGTTTATGGAAACGTAAAAGAACCCCACACTTTATTTTATAGAAATAGAGTACTTTAGAAGCATCACGAGTATTAAGGCTGGTTTTAGCAAGGGTTATGATCAATACAATTATTTTTACTATGATAATTATTTTTCTTCTGTGGAACTCAGAATCCTGGCTACATTGGAGGACAGGAATATGCTGAGCCGGATTTTCCTGGTGTGTGTACAATATTTCCTGGGGATTCGTTAGGCACTTTCAAGAGGCAGTGTTAAATCCTTCAGGTTACATTTTCTGCCCTGAAGCAGAAACCGACACAATGATGCGGGGTCCTGAAGGGTTTGACGCGGTTCACAGTGCCTGGGTCACACACACCCTGAGAACCAGCTTTGTATTTCTTATGACTTTGCATAAGAACTCTTCATATTTGGATCTTGAGCACCTTATAGATAAAACTTTTTATGATATTTCTTCTGTGGACAGTGATGGATCTTTTCACAATGTGCGTAGACTCTACAGTTTTGTACATATGTTTGTGCTTTTTTTTTGTACAGACTATTTAGTTGTTGAGAAAACAAGGGAATTTCCTAATTTGCTCTTCATCCTTCCCTTCAACCGAGCTAAAGACTGTCTTTTACCAATCCCACAGATCATAAGCACGCCTTGATATTGTGATTCTGTAAGACAGCGTTTATGCAAAAGTTCATGAACTTCAAAGATCTTAGCAGCCAAACTGAAATGGACGTTAATATCCAGTACAGAGGAATTTCAGTAGGAAAAAGGTAAAGAACATCTTTGAGTAGCCTACCTTGAATACTGTCAAGTTCACAACCAGCTTTCTATTTTAAAGGCCTTTGGTTTGAAATTAGGTCAGCTGCATGCAGCTTTGCTGATAAATGAGTAATTATCTTCCATGCCATTTATGGGAAAAGACTTCAATATCTGTTGCCTGTCATATTTAAGAAAAATTACTGTTTCTACTCTCTGTATCTGATTTTAAAAAGAAAAATATTCATACCTGGCTTTCAGGTAATTGACTTTGAATTCTTACAAGCAAAGGTCATTGTGTTTTTCTTGAATAGACATCTAATAAATTTTGCTTGGAAGTATACTTCAGTCTTTCTTCTTGACGTGTATCCCTAAACAAAGTGTGTGGTTTATCCCAATTTGTTAGATACACTAAGAAAATGCATTTGCCCTGTGTTCTCTAGACATACCAATGGAGGGGGAAAAAATGTATCTGCATCAGCTCAGAGAGGAAATATTTGCTAAACCTGCCACCAAAACTCACTTGCTAAATATACTCTGGCTAAAAACTGCTCTTCAGCTAAAACAACACATTAAAATATCTCTGTCTCATAAATAGCATTTCCCCCTCAAGAAGAAGTTAATAATAAGAAGGTGGAAGCACTTTCCCAATTCAACTACCTTCAAATTTAAAGTCCCTGCCCTACAAAGTCGTCTCACCACCGGAATGTCAGACTCACGTGACACCCGCGAGCTTTCAATAAACTTCCAATGACGGGCGGCCATTGGGCCTCGTTTCTCTCTCACACACACAGAGTGTGCGGCCCGCCAGCTCCCTCGGACCCTTCCTACCGCATCGGGGTCCCCAGGGGCCCTGTGCGTTTCACCCCTCTTCCATGCCTGTTGCACGCGCATTCAGAAACACGAGTTCCTCGGTGGGCAGTTCAGTTCTCGACGATGTCTTGTCGCGTTGCTTAGCTTTAATGCTCTCCCTCATCCTCCCTATCCCACTGGAGAATTCCCACTACATATTAGCTCTCCGCCTTCACTAGTGTACACAGATACTAGTGGTTCCTTTTCGTGAAGACTGTGACTCCTACTCTCGTGCTCCTTTCCTCATCACGGCTGGGCGATGGACCATGTTTTGGCATGTGTAATGTGCTCCCATGCTTTTGGCCCAAACTTTCAGGGGGACAAATCTTCTGTTTTAACTTTTTAATTCAATTTTTTATTTGCTTATATTTAGATACTTGGTTTTTGTATTATAAAGGAATTTTAGCATTTATTTTTGAACATATTATGGGATGAGACATTTTATGTAACAAAGAATTATAAAACACAGGAGCAGATGCAAGGTATTTCAGGCGCTACCCACTTATAATGTGCATCCTTAGTTTTCCCTCAAAAATCTGAGCAAAAAGTGCACGTTGTACATGGCCGAATACGTAACTACGTAAATCCGAATGGGATAAACCGTGAGGGGCATGTTTGTGCCCTCAGGGACGGCTTCCCATTTCTCTCTCCACTGACTCTGTTGTGAGATGCTCCGCACTCTGCAAATGAAAACCTGGGTCTTTGAAAACACGTGCATCAACATCTAGATTTCCTCGTCCCACCTGAGATGGAATCACTTGCGCTTCTCCGTGCGATCCGCCGAGGCGCTGCCGCAGCGTGGCCCCAGCCCTGAGCTCAGGAAGCCTACGCCAGTGTGGCAGTGTCCCCTCGCTCTCAGGGCCACTGGGCACTGCTGTGGGGCCGGGACAGCCGCTGCCACCGTGACCCTCCCGCCCTGTTCCCCATCGGCCATGCCTGGGTGCTGGATAGAATGCAGAATTACTCGTTTTTTTGCTTCAGAATTGATGCTTAGTAACCTATTTTACTTAGCTTCATGCCGATGCATGCTCTTCATGACACACCAAAAATAACTTAATGCACCTCATCTCTGTCACTGAAAACCACCTGGGGAGGAGCGTGGGGTCCACTGTTGGGAACACAATACAACAAGGCTGATAAATCACTGTCACTATTCATCAGCTTCTGCCTCTCACACCTGTGCACCAACTGGCCGTGCGGGTCAGAGAAGTGTCACCGGGAAGGGACCCTCTGGTATTTTATGTGACAAGCTTTAACCCTTCCCTAGCTGTGTCCTCACTGAAAGCAGGCATGTCCATTTCCTGATGTCTGGACAGCAGAGAGACCCCGTCTGAGCACCAGTTGCATTCACTGCTTGATCCCGCTCTGCCCAGGTGGTCAGTTTGTGAGGCCTGATAACTTCTTCCTATTGTTTTCTGGATTTCCGCCACAAACAGAGATGTTCTTTAGCCATTTGGTCACATAGACTATGCACTCTGTCAGCTCCCAGGAGCCCCTTTATTTAAAGATGGAGTCATCCCCCTTTCCAGGTGGAAGGCCTCCAGCGGTTCTTTGTGTGTCAGTTATGATGCCAGTTGTTCGCTCGTCGTGGGTGGCGGGGTCCGAGCACAGGCAGGCTGGCATTACTCATGAGCAGCCTGCGGCAGGAATTGGCCGGCCACGGCCTGTGGACCGACTGCAGCCTGCTACCTGTTTGCTTGCGGCCTGCGAGCTCAGAACAGCTTATACAGAAGAACACCAGCATCCGCTGGATGACAGGGGACACAAACTTTGAATCCCAATTAAGTGAAATGTTGTTTCCCTCGGAAAAAAAAAACCCACCCTTCTTTTCACTGATAGATCTACCTATATCAGAAAAACTTGACCCTCGTGTTATTAATATTTTGAGAGTCATCAACAAATTGGTGAAATCTGCTTTTTGTTATGGAAGTAGGTACATGATATCCTCAAGTTCGCCCCACAAAACTGAAAATACTATCTAATACAGATGTACTATCTGTGCCTTCAGGCAAAAAGCCTGTGAACCCCTGGTCTGTGCTCCGGGTCAGCAACTGGCCTGGGAACTCACTGGAGGGGAAGGAATACTGAACTGCTGCTATACCCCAGACTGTTATTTTACATGCATTCCTTGTCTCTCTCCGCACAAAATATGGAGAAGGAACTCTGCTTTGAGAGGGGAGGAAGCTGAGTCTTGAGGTTATCACAAAATAGGTGGTGGGCGCTGGGTTCAGAATCCGGCGTGTCTCCCTCCCACGCCTGCACGCTTTCCTCCAAACCTCGGTGCCGAGCACACGCTGATGAAGCCGCGCTCCCGGTTAAGCGCTCACTTCCACCTGCCTCCTTCCTCCCCACCGACTCCGTTCTCGCCGACTCCGCCATCGTGAGCAGCCACGCACCCACAGCAGCACCTTGCTGTGCACGGGAGGACAAGGGGTGTCTGTCTGCCCCACCCAGTAAAACAGCGTCTCCCCAGGGAAAGCTAACTTTGGTTTTTGAAAGTATACAGTGACCCATGAGGATAACATTTTAGCGATTGACCTGTTTTAACTAAGCTCGCCGGTGAGCTGTGATTCACGAGGGCTCTAGAGGCCGTTGGCGGTGAGTCAGCTCCGCAGCTGGTGGTGGCTTTGGAAAGGGCTTGGTAACGTGGGGTCCCTTGGAGGCAGGCAAGCCCAGAGTGCTCTAGGAACACAGTGTGCTCGCTGGACAGCGTCTCAACCTACAAAGCCCCAGGACATAGATACTAGCCATTCCGTGCTGGGTGACTCACTGAGTGACCAGGAGCCTTAGCTCACCGCTAAATTCAGCCCCTCCGCAGCTCAGGAAAGTGCCATCTGAGCTCATGCACATACCTATATCTTGACCCAAAAACCTTTCAGTGCAAGACAGACCTCTGCCTAGTAAATCTTCACCTGTTCCTTTGGGGTTTCTTGTTTCATCCATTTCCCGAAAATACGACGGGTGACTCAGGAGTCCCAACGTTTTCCAAAAATAAGTGCCATTTCAAACAAACCATTTAAATAAATTACCATGAACGACACCAAGGGGTGAGTGTCAGATCTTGCGCTGCTATCACAGAAAGCTGGAGGATGACTTTTTAAAGTATTTTTTTAAGTACACAAGCAACAGACCGTAGGAAAAATTAGAAAATACAGAATCACTAAGAGTCCCATTTTTTAGAGTAAGGATTACACTTCGGCACCTCTCCTTCCAGAGTATTTTCCTGTGTGTGCACAGAAGTGAGTGTGCAGCTCACACACAGGCAAAAGTGGGCTCACACCGAACAGATATTTTATGACCTGCACTTAATATTTATAACCTGTAGACAGAGCATCTGATATCTTGCTCCCCGGCCTATGTCATCAGTTTGGCTCAAATAAACTCTTATAAAAATTCTCAAATAAATAAATAGTGACCAAATCATGTTTTCAAGTCAAGCTGACCTTCTCAAGGTTTATAGAAACAGTAAGGAAAAGTCAAAGTCAACCACAAGACTCGTGGAAATGCAATTAATTCAAAACCAAGAGACAAAAATTACAGAACTACCACTAACAGTGTTGCACTCTGAGAAACTGGTAGAGGAAAGGAAAGAAAGACAGAGAGGAGAGAAAATCATATTTATTATCGCTGCAGCATAAGCTATCACATGCATTAGGCATCTTTCCAGCTAAGGAGTGGCCGACAGAAGGAGATGTTAAAGTGAGAACTGTGTGAACCGCAGAGCCGTTGGATGCAACATCCAAGCCATCCTGGGGGTTGGCAACACGTACAAGTATGGAATCCACACGGACGGAACAGGATAACTGCTGGGTAGTCCAGCTCATGCCCTTTGCCCCTCTCCCCTGCACGCACGCACGCACACACCCACAGAGCCACCCCAACAGAAGATAATAGTGATATAAGAAGAATTCAATACTGTAAGAAGAAAATACAGTAGCCAAGGTCTGGAAAGAGCCCATGCATCCATCAGTAGGTGAGTGGATAAAAAAGCTGTGGTTCATTTACCCAATGGACTACTACACGGCTGTGAAGAAAGAGGGGACACCCTTTGCGACAGCATGGACAGACGTGTAGAACATTATGCTAAGCGAAATAAGCCAGTCAGAGAAGGACAAACACCATATGATCTCACTCATAGTGGAATCTAATGGACGAAATACAACCAGAAGCATGGACCCATGCAACAGGCTGACAGATCTCAGAGGGGAGAGAAGGAGGGAGACTGGAAGAGATTAGCCAAATAACATATATGCAAATATATGCATATATGCAAAACCCATGGGCACAGATAACAATGTGGAGAAAGCTGGAGTTGGGGGGGCTCAGTGGAGGGAGGAAGAGGGATGGAAAATGGGAGACATCTGTAATAGTGTCAACAATAAAAAATTTTTTTAATCCTAGGTTCCAGGGAATAAAACTTTAGCAAGACCTTCTTGCTCATTGTTAATTATGTCCAAACTTGCGTAGACACCCACCACCAACCCCCCAGGC